TTCATAAATCTTCCCATTAAGAGGTGAACTGTAATTTTCTACTCTTTTGAGTCTTGGAAATGTGACTTGCTTTGGCCAATAAGGCAGAGCCTTGAAAACTGCTTGAACCTTGGAATTTGACCTTTCTTGTCATTTTTAGGAACCTCAGGCCAATACCATGTGAATAAGCTTGGACTAACCTGCTAGATGATGGGGGTCTGTTACCTGCACTGCTTTCCCTTAATATTGTCATAGATGAAGGTAAACTTCCAACACAGACCAACAACACTTCCACTCCCATGAATGAGTGCATGTTGAAGCCAACCAAGAAGCCTCCAGAAGCCTCTGGCTTCAGGGTACAAAACGGCTTCACTGAGATCTTCAGATCTAGCAGTCAACTTCAGAGGTGACCACCCAACACAACGAAACAAAAGCAGAAATTTTTATTATGCCCAATCAAATGGACTGACTTCCTTGTCAGATGGTTAATGTTTAACTATGGGTTGCTGTTTTCCTTCTCTGTGTTCTTTATGACAATTATTCATTTTTCCTCTTTTCAGAAATAGCATTTCCTTTACCTTGTCCCAAAGAATGATTCAAACAATGAATCTGCTAATCTCTTGCTGAACATGTTACCCATTTTCAATTCTAGGAATTACTCAAATTATGCTTCCTATCTGCACAGTGCTGGTAGACAATTCCATGAAGACTAGACCTGAATATTTCCTCTATACTTTTGAATATACAACAAGTATCTAGGCCCAGATACTCAAACTGTTATATTTATATAGAACATGCAGTCAATATTTGATCCAAAGATGAAAATCAACCTAATAATCTTTCAAAATAATCATGGGTACTTACAGAAATGTAATAATCTATGCAACTATTGAGGAATAAGATTAAAGGAAATAAAAATACTTACAAAGCTTAGCAAGAAATTTCATACAAGTACTATCCCGAAGATAGAAATATCTCCTACACTACACCTTGTGAAAAGCTGATAAATGTCCTTGTTTTGGAAAAGCAGACTACAAAATATTGGCTAATATAATTATCACTGTTTGTCATTAAAATTCAGGGGGTAAGACACATGCTCTCTCTATATAGGTCCTATTACCTGCCTGGCACCGGCCTGTTTTTTATCTGTGACCTCTGTGTATACCAAGAACAGTTCCTGGGACTCCTTAACAGTTCCTTTGAAGATTTTAAATCCTGTGCAGCCTCTTACCATCTGGGTCTTTTCAGGGGTTTCATGAAAGTGACCTTCCAGGAAAAGTTAGGACTGTACTGATTTCCTTGAAGGTTTTTTCCTTAAGTACTTGAATTCAAAAGCTGTATCTGTAACTTATCCCTTGCTGTGGTTGAAATTATGAATGAGACCATTCACGCTACAAAGACCCAGCAAAAAGCTGTGTTTTGCTTACTCTCTTGTAATTAATGAACCATCACATAGCTTTACAATACTTACTGGTCTGGTGTGTGTGTTGGGGGGGGGCATCTGAACGCTGGCTATTATTTCCTATTGTTTCTAGGTAAATACTTCTGAACAAGAGGAAAAAATATTATTTAAACAAATATATAGCCACAATCATGCTTAGTGAATTAAGCCAGAAAGGAAAAGAAAATTACTGGATAGTTATACTTATAGCAGGAGTGTAAGGACTGGCAGGGCAGGGGGAGCAAATGTAATAAAGTAAAAACAAAAATCAGCAAGCAAGTATAAACCAGAGATATTCTACGGAGATGGAGAGGGAACATGATCCAAACTGGGGTGGGAAGAGTGCACAGGACTATGGTAATGGCACAAGGGTGACTTGGTGGTGGGAAGACCTCGAGGATTACAACCAAGTAAAAAAAATGTACAAAATGAAGAATGATGTAAATATATATATATATATATATATATATATATATATATATATATATATATATATATATATATATATATATATATATACACGTATACATATATACATATGCATATAAAATAATAATAAAAAATAACTTACAACAAACAAAAAATACATCCACTGAATAATTGATTACTCTCAAAGATTTGACAATCTGAGAATCAGAATCTATTCTCTTGGCAGGGCTAAAATTCTGGCTTCCTGAGAGACATCTTGGATGTAATTTTGTATACAGACTGATTTTTACATGTAACTAAATTAAAAAAAAAATACTGGCTTCCTGAGTGTCGATACTTCTCACAATAATTCTACTGGCTTTTCTTAAATGAATTTTATAAGGAGTCTTTAAATCTATTGTGAAACTGATGTTTGATGACCAAACGATCATTATATATGAGAAAAAGAATTCCTTGTGGCCAACGCCTGTCCTCCAAGAAAGGCTGCTGACTAAAAACAGAGCAGGGGAATCACAAATCTTGGTATTGCTGCCCAGTCAGGCCTGTAAGTATACACACCATATTGTGTGTCCAGCATCCTTAACAGTTAATTTTTGTTAAATAGAAACAATATGCATGTGTAGTATAAAAGAATATTTAGGCCCTCCCTGGTGGCGCAGTGGGTTAAAGCATTGCACTAAGAAGCTTAAGAAACTTCCGCATGAGTTCGATACCCGCCTGCCCCGGAGGAGATCCACATGGTGCCGCAGACCTCTCCTGAACCGCCCGCTGCTTCCTTCATCAGTGTACTTCGTTGATCTGCCTGTTCTGCTCCCCACTCTGTCCCTGATGAATCCTCTCACCCTCCGCATCTCTGGTCTGTACCCCAGCTCTGTATGAATAAATAAATCTTAAAAAAAAAAAAAAGAATATTTAAGTGGTTTTGTTTTCCGGTGACATCACAGGAATACTAAGGATTTTATTCTCAATTACTGTTATTAACAGGGTATCTTCTTTATTTTTTTTAAGATTTATATTTTGGCCCTCCCTGGTGGCACAGTGGGTTAAAGTACAGCACTGCAAGCGGGCCAGAGCTGCTTTAGACTAAATCACCAGCCCCGGAGGTGAGCCACATGGCACAGCAGATCTCTCCTGCCTCACCTGCTGCTCCCCTCAGCAATGTACTTCATTGACTGCCTGTCCTGCTCCCCACTCAGTTTCTGGTGAATCCTCTCACTGCCCCTGTGCCTCTGTCCTGTACCCAAGTTCTATATGAATAAATATATAAATCTTTTTTTAAAAAAGAAAAATTAACATTTGTTTAACTTAAAAAAATTTATTTATTTGTACATACAAGAACTGGGGTGTAGGCCAGAAATGTGGCTCCCTAACAGGCCATCTTTTAAAAGATAATATGGGCCCTTTTTGGTGGCGCAAACAGGTTAAAGCACAGCACTATGAAGCTATCCATAGCTACTATCCCTTGAGTTCGATCTCTAGCCAGGGAGCTGACCCACATGGCACAGCAGACCTCTCTTGATCCGCCCACTGCTCCCCTTAGCAGTGTATTTCAATCAGTATGCCTGTTCTGCTTCCCTCTCTGTCTCTGGTAAAATTTTCTCACCCCTCACCCCACACCTCTGGTCTGCACCCCAGTTCTTGTATGCATAATTAATAAATAAATCTTTTTTTAAAAAAAGAGATAAATGTTTCAAGCTATAGAATTTTTATTCTTGGATTGGAGTTGGAAATCCATCATGAAATGCTATTGTATTTATTTTATAGAAAATGTTTTGAGTTTTTAATAGCAAAATAATACAATTGATGTAAATATATGTTAAGCATTTTAAAAAGAAAAAAATGAGAGATCAGAAATATGTTAGTGGTAAGAATTATACTGAAATAATCATCTTCTGAAAATAAAAAACATTCATTTGAGATTTTAGTGATGTGCACAAAAACCAAATTCACCTTAGAACTTATGCCAAAGCAACACTTTAAATACCTGTTACCTTGTTAAGACATGTAAACCCAGCAATATTAACAGCCTTGTTTTCTACAGAGTCTATTACTTAGCAGCATGTCTTATAAATACTTCATCCTAGGAGTTAAAATGATAAAACTAAATATAAAATGAATTTTTTTAAACACTAAAAATGACATTTAGTTTACTTTTACAGAGTTTTATTCCAAAAGGATATGAGATGGTTGGCAGATACACACACATTCACATTCACATGAGTAAACTTTGGCAGAAATAACCCTATAAAGCAAAATACTGGTGAGCAGACACCAAAGTTTTTTAAAAAAGAAAAGTTCAAACACACAAGGAATAGAATAAATCAAAGATTATACTTCTACCTTAAATTTAGAAAAAGAAGGTTTTCCATAGTTGGAGGAAAAAACTGCCAACACCAATAAATAATAAATGCTTTTGCTAAAATTAAGCAACATCTTTCTGAAACACAAGTCACCTTGAAAACCAAAACCAACAGATAATGTTTAAGATGAAGCAGCACTTAGAAATCTCCCCCTAGCTTCATCCTATCCAGAGGCTTGTGGATGAACATCAAAAACAAGCTATAACCCAAAGCGCTTCATTTCATCAACTTGTTGAGCAGGAATTATTATTAGCAGAACTGATCAAAAGATAACTGCAAAGAAAAAGACTGTAAAGTGGAACCTAAAAAAAAAAACAATAATAATAATAATAATAAAATAAAGTGAAGCCCAAGTATCTGAGAAGACAGAGAAGCTATGGACACAGAAGAAATACATGTGGAAGGCTGATGCATTTCTGAGTTTCCAGAGTTCCCGCAGCTTCTGTCTTTAAGAGAAAAATAAAATCCTCAAACTTTTCCCAAAATACCCAAGCAACTGGTCTTAATGGAAGTTTAAGGAATCCTAAATTGCTTTTCAGTAATTCTCAACCTAAGAGCACATTTATATTTGGGAAGGTCTTTTTCTTTTTTAACACCAATGTTTGGGCCCCCTAATTCAGAATTATCAGAATTCCTGGATATGGAACCAAAGCACTTTAATGCTCCCAGTAGTTCAAATGAGCAACAAAGGCTGAGATCTACTAAGTAACCTAGAAAAATACTAAGAAAAGTTAAGAGTGACTGTAGTTACTCTGTGTTTGCACTTCAGTGGCAACAGAAAAATTTTCAAGGAGGTTCATTATTATTATTATTATTATTATTTTGGCTAATATTGGGCACCCTTACTCTCATATAGTTACCCTAAGTGTAAGACGCTTAAATCCTACAAGACAGTGAACACATTCCATTTCTAAAATAATTATCTGGTGCCAAGCACTGTGTGTGCACCATCCCAATATTATCAATAATTTCCATTACCCTGTAAAATAAGTATTAAACCCATTGCCTAGGTAAACATGGAGGAGGAGTTTAATATGCTCCCCACCACAGAGCAGAGGTAAAGAAATACATCAGAACTTACATGTGCTTGATTACAAGGTCATGCTTTTTCTCTCTTTTTAACTTTATATATTTAAGCTGTGAAAGACAATAAGTCACATTTCATTATAATAAGGTATATCGAAATTAATCTCACTCATACTTTTTTCTGATACAACTGAAATTCAATGCATGGTAGTTGCAGTCATTTTAACCACTACCACTTAGTTTTTCTATCATCTAAGCACTAAATCCTTTTTCATGGAGACAAAGTTAGCAGTTTCTTGTTCATCTTTCCAAAGATGTTTAATATACGCTTGAGCAAATATATGTATGTATGTGTTATGTGCATACTTCATATATTTGGATTCATCCTTCACCTCTTTTTAAAAAATGCTTGCATGAGTCACATGCCTTTTTTGCATGTGTATTCATTTCAACAATACATCTCAGAGTTAATTCCACATCAATACACAATTGTAAATTCTTTTTTGTACTACACAGTATTCCAAGGCACAGACAGAAACAACACTTTGAAAATCAATGCCTTGCAGATAGGATTTCAATTGCTTTCAATTAATTGCTGAGGTTATACTGGAATGAATAACCTTGAGCAACAAAACTTCATAACCATATAAAGATAATTATATCTCTGTAATAAGTTCTTAAGTGTCAAAAGCCAGGCCCTTTCCACTATTCCATGCTGTCTCAGGAATCTAAGAAATAATTCATAGCCAGACTTGTGGTGATTTATATTTAATTACTTTATTGAAAAATCTTATTTAAATACCCAAATTAAACTTTTATTATAATAAAACTCACTTTTCTGAGTATGCTCAAAGACCAGATAGTCTGAGAGATGATTTTCCACCAGAGAAATAGGACTTCACAGTTGCCGTACCAGTGATGTGCAGGTTTTCCCTGACCAATCAGAAGGTATCTGCTGCTGAGGACTCTGGGTCCCCCTGGACGGTGCTGATGCTCGGAGACTGAGAGCAGTCCTCCAGGTTGGCTGAGGGCAGTGTCACGGACATCTTAGCAGGAAGCGTCTGCGAAGTGAAGAACGGTACGGCTTTACCACCTGTGAAAGGAGCAGCTCATTTAGCCAAATAAGCACGTCTTAATATCTATGTGCTTTGTGCTTTTCTAAATAACATAGGGGACAAAATCAAGATTGCATATGGGGTAATGCCTCTATGCAAGATGCTCAGAACTTGTCTTCCTTTCCATTCTCACCTCAGATAATTAGAGAAATTTTATTTTTTAAAAAGATTTATTTAGTTAGTTATGCATACAAGAACTGCGGTACAGGCTGAGGTGTGGGAGGTTGAGAAGGTTCTCTAGAGACAGCATGAGGAGCAGAAGAAGCAGATCTACTGAAATACACTGCTGAGGGGAGCAGCAGGCGAGACAGGGTCTGTACCATGTGGGTCACCTCCCTGGCTGGAGATCAAGCTCATGGTGTAGTGGCTGCAGGAAGCTTCCTGGTGCTGTGCTTTAACCCCTTACACCACCAGAAAGGGTCCCAATTAGAAACATTTAAAAGCATATGTTCTGATCTGAAAGTCTACACCCTTCCTCTCCTCTCCCCCCCCCCAAATCCATATGTTGAAATTCTAATCCCTGATGTGATGGTTTTAAAAGGGGTGGGGTCTTTAGGAGGTAGTTAGGTTATCACAAGTGTACCCATCATGAATGGAAAGAGCCTTGATACAAGAGGCCCAGGAGAGCTTGCTAGCCCTTTGCACCATGGGAGGACAGTAGGAGATGGCACTGGCTATGGAACCAGGAAGAGGTGCCTTGACCTTAGATTTCCAAATTACAGAATTATTATATATTTCTGTTGTTTATAAGATACCCATTCTGAAGTATTTTGTTATAGCAGCCTGAATAGATTAATACAGTTTGCAAGTCCAAATGATAAATGCTAGGTAAAACTGAGGCGAGGTAAGAGCCTAGTCTATGAAATTACCTCTTCCTACTAGCTCTTGTGACTTTGGGCAAGTTATTTTACTACTCATCTTTGCAGTCCTCCTGTATTAATGGGCTAATACTACACTACTTCTCTTCCAGAGTGCAAAGAGGACATAATAATACCAGTACAAATTTCAACATCAGAGCTTAGAATTTAGTTAAGTGCTCAAAAAGTTACCATTACCACTAAAAAAATCACTACTATTACTATTATCATCAGGTAAAAAGCCAAAGGCCAATAAAAACCACACAGGAATAATCTTAAAACAAATGTTGACTGCTAAGTTTTTCCTATAAGAGGAACTTGTTTGCTATAAGCAATAAGATATGAGCCAGGTAAAACATTTGAAAAAAATATTTGAAGTGAAAAGTCAAAAGACTTCATTCTTCCTCCTACCCCTAAAACAATAAGCCTTTAATTCAGATCATATCATGAATGCTTGTTTACCAAGGGCCTAAAGGTACTGTTAACAGAACTCACATAAAAGGAGCAATGTCAAAGGAAAAAATATTGAAGTGGTCATTCAAATGTCATTGACATTTGAGTTTGGAAAGTATTTTTCTTAGTAAAATAGACTTTTCTTCCAATATTATCTTTAGACTTAACCAAATGTGGAGGGAATTTCACTCCATGGATTGAGAGTAGTGGACATAACTGAGAAGCTGGTTGGTAGCAAAAGGAAGATAGTTTGGGATAAAGAATTCATTAATATGTTAAAACAAAATAAAACAAAACCCAGAGTTGACAATGTATCTGCATATGCTCTAACTCACGCCTTTAGGTTTAAAGCACATGCCTAAGATGAGAGGTGTGGATCCATGCCTCCAAACCACATACAGCATTATAAAACAATGTTGCCTCAATTTAAAGTAGAATATAAATTACTACCTCATACCATAAACAAAAACCAACTCAAAATGTATAAGAGACCTGAATGTAAGACCCAAACCCATAAAATACATAGAAAAAAAACCGGTACAACAATCCATGACTTCTCAGAAATATGTTCAAGGACTCAACCAGAAGCAAAGAAAATGAGAAAAAGGAAACAGCTGGGACTACCTCAAACTAAAAAGTTTCTGTACAGCAAGAGACATTAACCAAAACGAACAGACAACCCACACAGTTCAACAAAAACAAACAACCCAATTTAAAAAAAAATAGGCAGAAGAACTAAAAAGACACCTTTCTGATGAGAATGACCCATATTAAAAAAACTGGCAGAAAAAAATGCTGGTGAGGATATGGAGAAAAAGGAACCCTCTTTACACTGCTAGTGGGAATGCAAACTAGTCCAACCACTATGAAAAGCTGTGTAGATGTTCCTCAGGTTACTAAAAATGGATCTACCACATGACCTAGCAATTCCATTCCTACGAATCTACTCAAAGGACACAAACACATCAATTTGAAAGGAAACTTTCAAAACACTCCTGTTTATTACAGCATTATTTACAATAATAGCTTAGATATGGACACGACCTAGATGCCCAAAAACATATATTCAGGTCAAGATGACATGGTATACACACACACACATACACACACACAAAGAAATACTACTCAGCAATCAAAAAGATAAACTTATGCCATTCACAGCAACATCAATGGAGTTATTACTGGAAAGGATTATGCCCAGTGAAGTAAGTCAGAAGTAAAAAGAAAAATATTGAATGGTTTCTTTTATAGGAGGAATATAGGGAAACCAAGCAAAGGGTCAAAAAAAACCCACAAAACGTCAAAAGACTATCAGTACTATACCATTACTTTTTGTAATTTTTTAAAAAGGATTTATTTATTTTTGCATAGAAAAACTAGGCCAAAGGTACAGGGAGTGGGAGCATTCACCAGAGACAGAGTAGGGAGCAGAACAGGTGGATCTACTGAAATATACTGCTGAGGGGAGCAGCAGAGACAGGAGAGGTCTGCTGTGCCATGTGGGTCAGCTCTTTGGTCAGGGATTAAACTTAGTCCACAGCAGTGAGAACACTGAGACTTAACCCACAGCTCATCAGGGGTTAGATGCTTTATAAAAAAGGTAAAGTACAGGGCTTTCCCTGGTGGTGCAGCAGGCTAAAGCTCCACACTATATGAGTTTCTCAGAAGCCACTGTAGCACGAGTTCAATCCCCAGCCAGAGAGCTGACCTACATGGCGAGGCAAACCTTTGCTGACCACCTGCTGCTCCCCTCAGTAGTGTGTTCCAGTACATCTGCTTGTTCTGTTCCCCACTCTGTCACTGGTGAATCCTCTCACCCACCACAACTCTGGCCTGTACCCCAGTTCTGTGGGTATAAATAAATAAATCTTAAAAAAAAAAAAAAAAGCAAAGTACATAAAATTTAGTATCAATATAGCATACCATCTACTGTAATATGTCAATATGATATTTTACATATGAAAGTAATTCTATGTCAATTTAAGAAGAATTAATATTTCAAATAGGAAAAGCCTTTGAAATTTAGTTCTGTCAGGATGTGATTAAAAACTAAAATTAAGGGCCCTCCCTGGTGGCGCAGCGGGTTAAAGCACTGCACAAAGAAGCTTAAACCACTTCTGCATGAGTTCGATTCCCGCCTGCCCTGGAGGTGACCACATGGCGCGGCAGACCTCTCCTGACCCGCCCGCTGCTCCCCTCAGCAGTGTACTTCGTCGATCTGCCTGTTCTGTTCCCCACTCTGTCTTTGGTGAATCCTCTCACCCTCCGCATCTCTGACCTGTAACCCAGTTCTGTACGAATAAATAAATAAATCTTTAAAAAAAGAAAAAAAAACCTAAAATTAAGAAACAATAAGAAATACTATTTAAAAAAATCTTTTCAGGACATAAATATTACTCAAGTAGGCTGACATGTTACAAAGCCATGATACAGTGTATACAGAGTAACCAAGGATATAGCCAAGATCAAAGTTTACTTTGTGAATAAAGTAAAAACTAACATATGGTATAAGTAAGGCCAACAGTAAAATTGCTTTTTCAATTCATATAACAAATTCAATGCTACCATCCCCAAGAAGAAAATCAAAGAAAAAAAATCCATTTCTTGAATTACTTGCAAGTCCGCCAAATACTACACTGATACGAGCCTTCTTTTCTGTTAATTTCACAAAACTGCTTTATATTTGCCTTAATTTTCTATGTGCACTATTGCTTAAACTGCTCAATGCTATAGCAGGAATCTTAATTTTTTTTTTATCTCAAAGAAATTTCTAAACTCAAGGAACATTTTTATGCAGTTATTGTAAAGTAACATATTTTATAATTTATACAAAAGAATCAAAATTTTGCAAAGACCTTTTCCCCATTATCGCATTCTAACATTATTAACTTGAGAAGATGAAGGCAACAGATATTTAAAGTGGGTCTATTATTCACAAGCAAATGCTCACTAACTAAACTTCTATATAAGCTTTCTGTTAAAGCATAGATTTAAGATGGCACCAAGAGGACACACAGGCAAAAACAATTTGTCCTTATCCTCAAGAAGGGCATACCTAGTAGTGGAGATGGACATGTACAGGAATATTTAAGTTATACAGAAGTAGCAGTTGAGCTGGGACTTTAAAATGCGGAAGGCAGACCTCCCTAATGGCACAAGAGGTTAAGTGTAGCATTATGAAGCCATCCTCAGCTACTGCAGCATGAGTTTGATCTCCAGCCAGGAAGGTGACCCACCATGGCACAGCAGACTTCTCCTGTCTCACTGTGTATTGCACTTGATCTGCCTGTTCTGCTTTCCACTGTCTCTGGTGAATCCTCTCACCCCATTCCCCGTACCTCTGGCCTATACCCCAACTCTTGTATGCATAAATAAATAAATCTTTAAATGTTTGAAGGTAATGAAAGAGAGAAAAATAAAATAAAGTTAGAATGTTAAGGGAACTGAGTATTGTGATATCAAAATACTGACTGGCCAGGAAAGGCTGTAAAGGAAGGTCAGATTCTTCTGTACACAATGATGAGTCACAAAAGATTTTTTTTTAATTTATTTTCTTACAGCATTGTTCATTTTTGTGCAATATTTGATTTCTCCTTCAGGTGTAGATTTTTTAATAGAGGAGTAATGTGAGCAAATGTTATTTTAGAAAACAGAATTCTACAAAAAAAAAGGAATAAAGAAAAGAAAATAGAATTCTAATAACTATGTGGAAAGAAAGAAGAGTCCAGAGTAATGTATGGAAAGAGTTCATGAAGGAATGGATAATGCTTGACAGTGGAACTAGATTCAAATATTTTTGAAGGAAGCAGTACATCTAATTACGTATGGTTTTCATGACAGGTTTAGTAATCGAATAGGCAGTATAAAAACACAAACGAATCGGAGGTATAGAGAGCTGGGGAGATGGTGGGATCAGTTACATACTTGATAAATTGAATATCTGAAAGGTGTACTTTCCAGCACGCAACTGGAATCAAAGATGTAAGAGACAGAAAAGTAGTTTTAGAGATATACCAATAAACACAGATGTATTTGTGCAGTCTTCTCCACAGATAGAATGAGAACAAGAAAATAGTGATCACCCTCAGAGAGGAAACATATAAAATAACAAAAATGTGGGAAAATACAAAGCTATGGGAGCATAGGTAGGAAAAGACATAAGTAAAGTCAAATTAGAACTGATTTTCAAAATCAGGAGTCTTTATAATTTGTCATATTCATAATTGGTGGATCTAAGACTATAACTCACTACTCTTTACACTATATGAAATACTTTAATTACCCCAAATTAAGATGTATTAATTTTCAAGGTGGTTGAGCACAAGTAGTGGTTATGTAATGGTAGGGACAGCTGAAGCAAGGAGAAGCGACATTTTCAAGCTAAAGTCCCTTTATGATAGGTTAAATCTAGGGTCCAAATGAGTCCTTTTGTTCAGACATTTGGGGATGGTCCCATCCAGCCTGTAAGGGTGAGATTTCTGTGTGGGAAAGAAAATAGGACTAGGGAGAGGGAAGAGCTATCTCATCCATCCGTCCATCCCACAAATACCAACATAGTATGTGCCAGGTACCGTATTAGATTCTGGTGGTTCTAGCAGTGAGAGAGAGAGAGAAAAAAAAAAAAGATTTGATCACACTATGTCACATTCTGGTTGGGTGTGGGGCAGATGACAAGGAAATAAATCAGGAGGCAGCAGTGCTATAAAGCAAAGTATATGGGGTGTAGAGGGACAGGAGTGGTAAGAGACTGGGGAAGTTGTATTTCCTTAATCCCTAGTTTCCTCATCTATAAAGTAAACCATCTTCACAGATTTGTGAGCATTAAATGAGTCAGTACATATAAAGAGCCATGTCTAGTGATGGCACATAGAAAACACTCAAAGAGATGAGCTCTTACTTTTATGTAACTGGAAAGTTATTGTCCCAAAGCAATGGCCCATAGGATGAACTGCAAAGGACAGTTGTCTTTACAGAGAAGGATAAGAATGTTTCATTGAGAGGTACCAAGAATAAATGCTCAGGCCTCCAAATAGTTATGCTACTTCTGTCTTTAACTGTTATTTAAGCATTAAGAAAAAGATACCATTTCTGTAAAGGTGATTGTTAATATACATTTTGGGGAAAAAATTTTAAGTGTTCATTTACACAAGCTAAAGAGTCAGTTTCAGAACTTAAAAATTTAAGACTCGGAACTTTCTCTTCTTTTTTTAAAAAACATCACTTTGATTACTGTTAACAGGCAAAGAGTGTAACATTCATATCCAGTTATGGTCCTCACAGAGTTTAACTTCTTCTAAAGAAAAATATAATATCCTAATAAATCACCATTAAAACAAATACACCTATGTCAAATGCAGTTTGATGCTTTTACAGTTTGACTTTGTAAATTTCCTTAGTCATGTCATTACTCTATGATGTAATTGTTTCAACAGCTGTTTTCAGGTTTGTTTTCAAAAAAGAGGTTACTCCTTGTTTCCAGAGGTTTGTAGTACGTCATTTAATCTGGCACACATTTAAGCTGGGGATGCCAATGAGTAGGAAGGACCATGTATTTGAATCTTCCTAAGACATAATTAGAGATATTTTTCAAAATTCATTTTTTTGCTTTACAAATATTTAAATGTTATGCTTTCTGTTCTTGGATGTTAGATTTATAAACCTGAAGAAGAGAATAATTAAAATTAATTTATTTTAAGTAGTATATAGCATAATATTTTCATGTGCTTTTAAGACCTTGTCTGTATATTTACTTATTTTTTAAATATACATAACTTTCTAAAAGCTTTCAGGTTTAGATAATCCATTTCATCAGCAGCTTTTAGATTCTGATTCTAATCCTCAAACACTTGGTAACCCATTATTATATTTCTTATTTGCAAACTGAGAGGAATCCAAACAAAGCATTTTCTCCTAAAACAACCTGAGACAAGTAAAGAAGGGAAAATTTCCTTGGTAGCTCCATTAGAGTAGCACAGCATCTCAAATTCCTCATTCTGATTTAACTACACATGCCAAAAGCAACTTAAATGAATTTATGGTATTCTCCCATGAGATGATAAATGGATAGTAAAACAATAGTTGCTTGTATTAGGTTTTTCTACATGCAGATGATTTCTTATAAACTGCTATTTTAAAATAAAATTGAAGGAGGCCCTCCCTGGTGGTGCAGCGGGTTAAAGCACAGCACTGAGAATCTAAAGCCACTTCCTCATGAGTTCGATTCCCGCCTGCCCCAGAGGTGACCACATGGCGTGGCAGACCTCTCCTGACCCGCCCGCTGCTCCCCTCAGCAGTGTACTTCGTCGATCTGCCTGTTCTGCTCCCCATTCTGTCTCTGGTGAAGCCTCTCACCACCCCTGAGCCTCTGGCCTGTACCCCAGTTCTGTATGCACAAATAAATAAATCTTTAAAAATAAAAAAAAAATAAAATTAAAGGAAACAAAAATAATCATCTTGAAGCCAGGTACAGGGAGGTTCTTAACTCAGAATCCATGAAGAGGTGAATATTCTGTGTATCTGTGAATACTCTGAAATGTCATGCAAATTATTTTCATGTAAGTACAGTTTGGGAGGATAACAATGGGTAGCCACTGTTATCAGGGTTTAAAGAGTCTGTGGCCCCAAAGTATTTAAATATCATGGACTTAAAGGGCACCTTCAGTCCCATGGACAAGTGAAACACATTCTCTGAGCTGTTTTTCCAACAGTAGTGGTAAATAAGAGGAGTTTCTCTTAATTGTTGGTTGAAACTGAATTCTGCAAAGGAACTTAACTGTGTCACTTACCAAACTGTTCTGATTTGTTTATGCTGTCTGTCGCTTCCACTAGACAGTATATTTCTTAAGAGGTGGACTGGGACTTACAGTCTTTGTAATTGTGACAAGCACTTACTTACGGTTATCTTATCATCTTGTATCATCATCACTTCCTGGTGGCTCTGTTAAGAATGTGCTCCACCAGAACAGTCATTGTCTTACTCCTGCTTTCTACAAAGTTGTAGCATAATGCTACAAACCTCAAAATGATGCCAGTGAATTCTGAGATGAATGCTGAGCCAAAGAATTTGTTTCTACAGAATCTATTGTTCCTCATGGCTAACAGCTTGTTAGATGCATGCTGACCAGATCCTGTCTTTAAAATCAGCCCTGAGTTCCAGCAATGCAGTTGCTTCCCAGCTGTCTATGAAATACTACAGTATTTCAGCTGTGTTTTACTGAGTTCTTGAAGCATTTTTTCCTGCTTACCCCGGACTCATCTACTCAATTCTTTGTTTAAGCAGCTGCCCCACTGTCCTGCTGTATTTGATTCTCCTCACATAATTAACCCAGCCCTGCAGATTTTGCAACATCATAGCTTCAGTGCTTGAGAACAAGTACAACTACAAGTCTTGATGAAGAAGATATCTGGTCATTTGATGTTAAGTATAGAATACATTTTACTTGCCTGTGCTTTCCAGAATTAGTCATTATTAAACATTTTTTCCCTTTACTTTCATGTTTAAAAGGGTGATTTAAAATGTTACTACAATCTCTTCTCTAAATATGTTTTAGACTTATAACTCCTTAAGTTTACTATTGCTTCTGTTTTTTTAAATGAGTTGACAAATGCTTACTTTAAAATTTATAATTTGAGATAAAAATAAAGCAGTTCCTATAGAAAGAATAAATGTATCAGCACCTGTAAAAACAACTCCAATTCTTTTTCCTCTCAAAAGCAATAGTTAATGTGAAAGATTTGTTTCTTCTTATGCCAGGTTCCAGCTGCTTCACTTTGTTTAAAACTGACTTCAAAGTTTAAACACTGTCCTGTCCCAACAAATAACCTCCCAGACGGAATTATCTTGAGTACTATCCTCAGTGCTCTCAATGCCACACCTGCAGTCTTTTTATTCAAAATTTTCTAAACTTTCCGAAGGGGAATGATAGACCTTATTTTTGTCTCCTAACATGACTTTTGGACAACTGAGTTTAGTGCACAAGGGAATTATACACCTGAAGTCAGTTTATAGGTATTTTAGAAAGATGTAAAATTGGAATTAGTATCTTTACTGTACTGATTGTTATGAGAGAGAAATCATAAGGAAATAAGAAAGTTTGAACAGCTCCAAGTTCAACAATTTTTAAAGTAAAAAAAAAATCTTACCTGAAAATACAGATGCAAGGTATAGATTGGGCTCTATTTGTGTCCTATCAGTATCACCGGGTGAAGCTATGCCAAACAAAAATTTTGTCGTAAGAAAATAAGTTGAGCTTAGAAATAATAATGATTCATTTCTATTCACTAGAGAGAACACAAGCCAAATGTACTCCCACAGTTAACACTCATAAAACTGGGTAAACAGAAGCCTGATCTAGAGGAAATTAAACAGCTGAATTTTAATGACTGTCAATAGAAAAATATTTTATCTGATGGATTATTATCTTTATGCATCAAAGATGGGGAGGGGAAAGTAAAAGATAAGAGAGTCTGAAATTTTTATTTAAAAAATAAAAGAAACTTACAGTCTACATTTTTCTATGGTTAAGTTTTCACAGACTCATAGTTAAGGATTTCATCAATACAAAAGGAAGTTTAAAATTTCCCTTCTCCCCTAGGGCAGCCTGCGGAATCTTGCCCAACACAATCTATGTGAAACAACCCATAAATTTGTCAGAGTACTTAAAAGCATTGCATTGTTAAACCAAAGCCAAATTTTAATATTAAAATGAAATTGTCTGGAGAGAGAATTATGAAACAGACAAAAATTAAGTCAAAGTTAATCACAGTGCTCAGGCCAACAAAACACCTGGACACCTAAGGCATTAGCCCTGTTGCTGGCATGCTGTTGACCTGCACTCTGACACACTGGTTTTTGTTTGAACATTCTTAGGACAAAATGGTTGGGAAAATTTACAATGCAGTATAATTAGTATTTTCTAATTTTTCTGTGAGATAAAAATGAGTCATTTCTCAACCTTCCTTTGTGCCAAAAAAATTTCCCATCGATTCATAAGATAATTAAATGAACACTATTTTAAACAAATACACACAGTTAATTAAGCAAAGCAATATATTCTCACTAATAACAAATATTCATGCTATACTACTGTTACTTCCATCTGTAGGGAAAAAATCTGTAATTAAATGCAATACAATCAATGAAGAAAAAAATTGAAGTTTAAATTTTTAAAAAATTGAAGTTTTTTAAAAAAATAGTTTTATAAGATTAATATTGTTGGGCAAGTACAAGTTATTTATAATATGGATAATCTGCAAATAGACCAAAATGGAACATATGACTTCAATATTATTCTTCAAAAATCTTTAAATGCTTTAAAAATGCTTACTAGAATAATATAATTTGATGCTCTCTATGTTCACTTCTAACTCTACTGCTAAGTTGCTAAGAGTTTTAGAGAACTTATTGCTCAGCCCCTCTAGCTGATTAGAGCTAGCTTCAGCAGTGAGCACCTATGTAGTACAAAGACAGAAATAAACTACCACCACCACCACCATGGCCTCTTCCATTGAATAACCATTTGTTTGCAGAACACTTAAGTGGCCATCTCAGCTAAAGCAGTTGCCTTGAAACCCAGAATTCAAACGTATCTATTGTGTTATGTTAAGAAATACACAGCAGCACCCCTTTCTGTACTAAACAAAACTGGGTGGAAAGAAAAGAAAAAGAAAACTTAAGTTGAGCTAAGGTTCATTAAACTTTTAATAACTTGTGTGTGTCCATCACTACTATCATAGGTCTAGTAGCACAGCAATATACATAGCAGGCCATTGTCTCAATTCACTTTAATTGGAAAGGCAAAACTACACACAGAGATTGGCAACAGTGTGTAAATCTTCCAATTAATGCTCCTACTCCTATCTAAAATATAAGGAGTTTTGAGGGCCAATAGCTGATTGAACTCTCTTTTAATATTATGTGACTTCCACCTACTGGTATCTTACTGCTAAACACAAATTCTTCTATTCATAGTACTTTTTTTTTTCTTCTTCTTGCTGTAATGTGCTTTTTTTATTCTCTGTAAGAAGATGCCATGTAGTATACTCGGATGACTGGCAAAAGGAGTTGTAGAATATTTTCTAAATCAGTGATTTTCAACAGTGAGCTGTGGTGAAGATGAGGGAATGTTTGGGTAACTTTTGGGGTTTTGTTTCCAAATTAACAAGGGCTCCCTTCTACTCTGATAGGACCACACTCCAAAGAGCGTGTATCAGTCCTACAGGAGTTGTTGCCACATGAAACACCCTTCTAAACTCATAACTAATCCAAGTGTGAACTATATACTCTCCATTTACATGATAACAACAACAAAATAGAACATTATTTCCTAATATTCAGATTCTTTGCTCAATACAGCTTATTTCTGCCTTACAGAAAATTAATTTTAACTCAAAAATTATGTTTCATTACTCTAAACCAAAGCATACTTTAGTCATTTCTTTATAACCATCAAAGTTACACTATTAGTAAAAAAAAAAATCTCAACAGAAATAACACATAAAATCTGTTATTATATTAAAGATGTAACTTCAATAAATCACTTTACAGGCTGAAGTAAAATGACTGTAATAGCAGATCTTCGTAAATGTCAGGAAAATAAACTAAATAAACTAGTTCTTTCTATAAAGTTGCTCAAGAAATGTCCACCTGATCAATTATTCCAAAACCTGTATAAATAAAGATACTGCTTCTGTTATCTTTTATAGATTATGTACATATAGCAAAAACCACACAGATTGAAGTTGTTACATGTTGTTGTTGCTGGTATAAACAAGTCTCTTCTATCAAAACTGGGGGAGAGGTTTGATTTCTGCAATGATTTCCCCAGCAGTGAAAAAAGTTACAGTGTCAATATCATGTCATTTATTCCATTAACAAGTAGCCACTTCATCATTCTCACTTTCTGGATGATGGGTTTTACTGGCAGGGTGTGTATTGTGCTCTGCAGGTGAGGATTAAAGTAGCAAACACAACCTGCAACACCATTCAAAAGTGCTTATCAAGTTTGATTATTACACTTCCTCATCCGGCTGCTCAGAACTGAAGAGATAATACTCATTGATATTTTAGTCAAAGGATCAGAAGGGAAAATTTCGAAGTAGCTGAAATATAAATTTCAATGGGAATTCTTAATGTTAACTAAAAGTTGAATCAAAAATTACCAAGGAATATAATTTACCCTTTATCAAAACAAATGTGTTGATATGAAGATGCTTTAAAATATCACAAAATAAAAAACAAGTAAACTTAGATTTGGAAGTAGAATCCTAGGCTGAGAAAGCAGGGATTCTGCTGAAAGAGCTTTAAGTGAGGGTACACAGCAGGTACTGGGGTTGTACCCCACTACGCTATGCTTCTTCCAAACACTAAAACTTTTACTTTGTGTTTTAACAGCCTTCAAAATCCTTTGTAGCTGATTGATGTCAATTTGAAAGTAAGCATGTTGCAGTATTTCAAAAAGTAGTATTATTTGAAATTTTTATTGAAGTAACATTTGGTTCTACCATTACATAATGCTATACATTCAGTTATATAGCATTATAGAGCATTGGTATGTACTATGTTTGCTATTAAAAGTCTATTTGTTATCTTGCACCATCTATTTGACCCTTTTTACCAGATTTACCCACCTGCTGCCCCCTTTCTCCAGTAAACAGCTGTCAGTTCTGTTCTAAGAGAACTCATATTTTTTCTTTATCTTCCACACATGAATAAAATCAGAGTGTTTATCTTTCTTCTTCAGACTATTTCACTTAGCATAACACCCTCTAGGTCCATCCATGGTGTTGCAAATGATAGGATTTCATCTTTTTTTTATAGCTGAAAGCATTTTGTTGTGTATATATACCACATCTTTATCCAATCGCCTAACAATAGGCAAATAAGTTCCTCCCAACATTACTGTGAATAATGCTGCCATAAACATGGAGGAGGCATGTACTTCCTCAAATTAGTGTTTTCATATTCCTTGGGTAAATGCTCAAAAGTAGCATAACTGGATAGTATGGAATTTCCATTTTTAATTTCCTGAGGAATCGCCATACTGTTTTCCATAATGGCTGCACCAATTTACATTCTGGATTTTATAATGATTGTATTCTTGTATTTAAAAAAAATATTATTTTGGTTTGAAAGTTTACCTGCTGCTCTCTACTGCTACCTCTAAAAAGAGTCACTAGTATAGTAATACGTAAATCTTAATATTTCTTTATATATACAGTGTACTCTAGAGATGTGAACTGCAAGATAAGACTATAAAGACAAAGGTTCCTATATCATGAACTTTTTAACCTGCAAAACAAGAATTCTTATATGGGTGATGTCCACAATTTTAACAAAATTGAATAAGGAGAAATTCAAAAGTAATACTATCATAACATCTGAATCTTTTATATTATCTTAAATTCACTAGATGGGGAAAAAAAGAGTATCAGAGTAGTTAAAAAGCTAGCAATTTTCAGATAAATAATTTGGTCATATCCTCCAAATTAAGTTACTTATTAACTGCATATCTAAGAGACATACTACTCTCTAATAATAGCATTTTCAGAAATAGTTTCATGACAGTATAAATGTTTATAACCAAGTGTCAAGAAGCTGACTGGTCAAATCAGAAAATGATGACCCAAACCTATCCTGAATGCATCCGTGATATATTTGAATACTGTACATTTAATTATCAAAGCTCAGTGCTTAAATGTATAGTTGTGTGGTATTATGACAAAGAGCATTCCTCCCTTCTATGTCTCCCCCCTTTTAGGTTTAGGAATGTCTAGAGGGACAGTTCAATATTAAAATTTGGTTGAAAACTGAGAGACTCAATGTTTTAGCAGACAACTTTATCTACAATGCACTTCCTGTTGAACAGCCTGAGAAACAGATACCCAAACAAATTCCTCTCAGATAACTCCTTTGTTAAAGCATACAATAATGGTTTGAAACCTAAAAAACCTTTAAAATTATAGTAGATTTGCCTTGTGAAAGAAGTCGCACATGTTGTATGATTACATTTATTTAAAGCAAAAAGAAAGGTACTATTTCATGCTATTAGAAGTCATACTAGCAGTTATCCTATCTGGTGACAGACTGAAAGGGAACATAAGGGGTTGACTTAAGGGGTCCTGACAGTATTTTGTTTCTTGAGCTGGATATAGGTTATCCAGTTTTTGAAAATTCTTTAAGCGATGTGTATTATTTTTGAATGGATATT